ACAACTCCAGCAATGAACTCTAAAGGAAACCATGGGCTTTGGGTGACAATGACGTGTCAATGTGGCTTCACTGAGTAGCACATGCATGAATCTGGTGGGGGCATTGTTGGGGAAGGCTGTGCATATGGGGAGCAATTATGGGAATTCTCTGTACTTCACACTAGATTTTGCTGTGAACCTAAAATTTCTCTAAAAACAAACATCTAATAAAAGTGGTCAGAAGCCAGGGGTGGCAGCGCATGACTGTAATCCCAGTGGCTCTGGAGGCTGAGGTAGGAGGATAGTGAGTTCCAAGCCAGCCTCAACAAAAGTGAGGCGCTAAGAAAGTCAGTGAGATCCTGTCTCTAAATAAAATACAAAAAAGGGCTGGGGATGTGGCTCAGTGGTTAAGTGCCCCTGGATTCACTTCCCAGTACCCCCCTCAAAAAAATTGGTCAAAATGTTAAATTTTTATGCATCTTTTATCACACATTTTAAAAACAATGTTTGTAGCAGTTTCCTTAACAACATCTCCAAAACAAAAGCAATGCAAATGCTGGCCAACTGCAGGAAGGGTCAGCAAACAGTTCAAAGTTCACTGAAACAGTCTAGAAAAACTGCTACACCAACTGCTACACTCAAGCTCATAGGCCAATCTCAAGGATGCGGTCTTGAGTGAAAGAAGCCAAGTGTGCAGGAAAGTGCCCAGCAGAGTGTGCAGGAGAGAGCACATGATATGGTTTTCTTTGTATCGAATGCAAGAACTGATGAGACTAACTTTTGCTATTAGGAGTCAGGGCGATGATCAGCCCTAGGAGGTGGGTAGTGACTAAGAGTGGGGCTGGGTGCTGTGTGGGTCTTGGTCTCATGGGTATGTCCAGTTTGAAAATTCACAGATTCTACATTTATGAGTTGTAACCATCCTTTTCATTTTTTTTTCTTTTTTTTTTGGTGGGAAGGGGCACCCTACCATGAGCTGCATCCCTAGCCCTTTCTATTTTAAAGTTTACTGTGAGACAGGGTCTCACAAAGTTGCCCAGGTTGGCCTCAGACTTGTGAACCTCCCACCTTAGATTGCCAAGTAGCTGGGATCACACACCAGGTTTATGTCCTCTTTTGTATATGGCTCTGTCAATTTATAAAGCTTGTGCACACACAGACACACACACACATCACCACACATATACATATCTACATGTATTTATATACACAAACATGACGCATGTGTAACACACACACCACTCACCAGGCAGATAGAAGTGTGTTTTAATTCATGAGTGTTCTAATTCTGCCACTCACTAGGTTTATTTATTTATTTTGGTGCTGGGGATTGAACCCAAGGGCTCTACCACTAAGCTCCATCTGCAATCCTTTTTATTTTGAAACTGGGCCGCACTAAGTTGTTGGGGCCTTGCCAGGTCCCTGTGGCTGGCCTCCAACTTGCAGTCCTCCTGCCTCAGCCTTCCAAGTTGCTGGGATTGCAGGAGTTTGCCATTGCACCTGGCTCACTTACTACCCTACATAGGCCCTTACACTCCACTGAGCCTCAGTTTCCTCATCTGCAAAATGAAATTAACAGGACCTGGAACAGTGAACAAGGAAGCATGTCCGATTCCATGCTTATTGACTCCTCTTGCTACAGTTCCCTTGGTGACTAAGCCCAGGCTGGAATAGGGTAGCAGTGAGGTCACTGTCCTCAAGGAGGACAGGCCCTTGAGGAGTGCCTATTTGAGCTGATAAACTTGCAAACTGCTGCAAAGAGAGATGTCCAATCAGGAGGAGCAGAGGAGGGGTTGGGGGTGGGGGCTGCCTGGGACCAGGCTGGGGGACTGACCACCCCAGGCAATTAGGGGGAATCATTGAGCTGGGGAAACAGATCCCTGTCTGGGTAGCAGGGCCGTTCACTATTACAGGGCAATCAAGATAACTGTACAACCTTCAGGACCTTCTTGGCTGAGCTTCTCTGGGCTGTGGAGTCAGGTTCTTTTCACGGTCACCTCCTCCATGGGGAAGCCCAGTAACTTCAGGAGGCCCAGGCTGGGCTCCAGGATCCCCATGGCCCAGTGATCTTACATATGAGGAGAGGGGACACTGAGGGAGACCCGACTGCCCCTTGGGAATAACTCAGAAGAATTTGACTTGGGTTGAATTCCATGCTAGCTCACTTACGAGCCATTTGTCCTCGGGTGGGCCAGGTGACTCTCTGGGCCTCATTTTTCTCATAGTGTTTGTAGTGAGGATCAAAAAGCTTCCCTCCTGGGCTGGGGATGTGGCTCAAGCGGTAGCGCGCTCGCCTGGCATGCGTGCGGCCCAGGTTCGATCCTCAGCACCACATACCAACAAAGATGTTGTGTCTGCCAAGAACTAAAAAATAAATATTAAAAAAATTCTCTCTCTCCTCTCTCTTTAAAAAAAAAAAAAAAAAAAAAGCTTCCCTCCTCACATAGAGTGAAACCTAAAGTGTCAGCATAGCCTCTGATGCACGATCATTTGGTCTCAGTAGAACCAGGGCTCATTCTCTGTCTCAGCCCCTGTACACTTTGCTATTCTTTAATGAAACCAAGCTCCTTCCCACTGCAGGACAAAGGACTTTCGTTTTCCCTGCCTAGAATCCCGTCCTGCCACATCTTGCTGCAGTGGTCAGATCTCAGCTGAGTGTCACTCCTGAGGGGGCAGGTCCTGCCTGGCTGCCCTGTCTAGAGCAGCTGCTCTCAGGCCTCTCTCCCTCTCTTCTCCCAACCTGCCTTACCAGCATTTGCAACTGATTGGAAGAAAATGGCTTGTGAATTTGTTTTCTTGCTTACTCCTGTCTTCCACACACGACTAGAGAGCTCTTGAGGGTGGAATGACACCCCTCTCAAAAAAGACAGGTGTACATTCGAATCCCTGGAACCTGTGAATGTGACTGTATTTAGAAAAAAGGTCTTTGTAGATGTTATGAAGACCCCAGGATGAGGTTATCTGGATTGTGAGAGCAGGCCCTACCTAACTCTAATGCAAGTGTCTTAATAAGACACTCAGGGACGGATATACACAGAGGAGGAGGTCTCATACACAGAGGTAAAGACCAGGGTATCGTGGCCACAAAGCCACTAGAGCTGGAAGACACAGAGAAGACTCTTCCTCTAGAGCCTCCTGCAGGAGCACGGCTGTCTCAACACCATGCTATCTAACTGGCCACCAGAGTTGTGAGAGCACACATTTTCATTGTTTTAAGCCACCCAGTTTCTGGCTATTTGTTATGGTGGCTTTAGAAAACTAATGTGGGCAGAGAGCTTGTATGCAGCTCCAAACACCCCTCCACAGTCAAGTGCATTCCCAAGTGAAAACCTGTTGGGCTGTTGTAGCCTTGGCCCAGAAATGAGGGGCTCTTTTGGTCTCCTAGGATGCCGGGGGCAGGGAGAGGCTTTGCTAGCTGGAGGCTTGGAACCCTAAATGTGTTGATGCAGATATCCGGAGAGTACAGCCAGTGACCCGAGTCACAGGATGTTAGGGTTTCCCAGGCTCTTTCTGTGACAGGATCAGGCGTCAGGAGCCATCCATGGGATAACATGTGGGTCACTGTGCATGGGAGCTAGTGAAGAGAGACACCTGGTGTCTGAGAATGATTGTTGAGTTCCAACCCCATATTGTTTTTTTATAGGCTGTGGACAATTTTTCTGGTCAATTGCCCAGGGACAATGTGAATTTCTATCCCACTCTGCCGTGGCCCACACAGCACCTGAGATGGGTGTGGACTGCTATCAATCAACCTGCTGACTGCAAAGACATCCTCAAGCAAGACTCCGCCCTTGAAACCTTATCCCTGCCTTTGATATACCCCCTTAAATAAACCTCCAGAGCCATTTTTCCTTGTTTAGTTCCAGAGCCCATGTGGACTAGATCGATCAGGGGCTTCACCTTTTGTAAATATATTTCTGAATATTTGTGTTTTGTTATTCACTAATTAGTTTAGATTTTGCATTTGAGGGTGGCTTAGATTCTCCTGGGCAGGAAGAAGAACCCCTCAATGAGACGCTGGCCCCCAAAGGCAGGGGGACTTGGAGCTCAGCTTCCTATGGAGAAGGAAGGAGGGCTGAGCTGCCCCCGTGTGCACGAGAGTGCCTGCCACTGTGTGGGGTGTGGGTGAGAGTGTGAGGGGGTGCATGCATGCGAACGCGTGACACTGTGTGAGAATGCTTCTGGATGTGGAATGTGTGTGAGGAGGTGCTGACCGTCAGGACAGGAGTGCATGTATGAGTGTGTGGGGGGATGTAAGGATGTACTGCAGTGTGTGTGCATGAAGATGAGTCAGTGCGCGTTGGTGTATGAATGACAACGTTTGTGAGTGCCCGTGAGGACACTTGGAGGAAAGGAGAAGGCAGCAGAGAGAAAAATCCAAAGTCCCACAGAATCCCCCAACTCAGAGATTCCCTGGGGTGGGGAAAGGGTGGGGCATGGTGAAGGGGAGGAGTCTCAGGGCAGACTGTTGGTTTCCAGCCCCATATAGTTTTTTACAGGCGGTGTGACTTGGGGTAGGTCAATGCACCTCTCAGAGCCTCAGTTTCCTCATCTTTAATGTAGTGATACGAGAATACCTAGTTCAGGTTTGCTGTGCGGATGGAAAGAGACAGGGTGGGTGGCCAATCCCTCAGCGTAGGTCTGGGTAGAGGGAAGGGTAGGACAAGAGGAGCTGTCACTTGTAGTCACCTCTGGGGTAAAACCTTCCCCGCTCAACGCTACACCACGCTGAGCCATGGAGGAAACTTTACGGCAGGATGGGGCCAGTTCCAAAGGACACTTCCTCCCTTTCTCGGAGCCTCAGTTCTCCCCTGAGCGATGCGGCTCAGCAGACTTGGGCCCGCGGGGTGCGCGGCGGGACGGTAGGACCGCAGCGGAGTGTGTGTGTGTGTGTGTGTGTGTGTGGGTAGGACCGCGGCGGAGTGTGTGTGTGTGTGTGTGTGTGTGTGTGTGTGTGTGTGCGTGCGCGCGCGGTGGTGGGCCTCGCAGAGCTGGGGACGCTGCCCGGAGGACATTAACATACTTATCTCCCTCTCTGCGGCTCTGCGGAACTCAAACGCAATCCAGACGTGAGGTGTGGCCTCCGGCAGACCGCGCCCAGTGCCCCGCCCACACACGGCTTAGCCCACCCGGCCCCCTTTGCGATCCCTGCCGGAAGTCGCGAGGGACGGAGCTTTTTCATGGAGACACTCCGGAGAGCCGCGCTGCGAAGTTTTGAGAGTTCTCGGCTAAGCCCTGGGAGCGCCAGGCAAGGGTGCGGGGTAAATGCTAAACCAGAGCTCAGACGCATAGAATCGCTGGCTCCTTAGCTGCAGGCGGAAATGAGGCCGGACCTCACAATCCCTAACTGACCCGGCTGCCTCGCGGGGTGGGGTCAGCCGGTTCTCCAAAGGCGCCTAGAAGAGGGGGGCAGCGTTTAAATAAAAGGCTTTGTTGTTCTGAGTCCCTGCTTTTCCGCGTCCAGTGAGGCTGTGGCAGTTCACCTATTTGTAAAGTGGGGTCATAAGTTCGTGCCTCGTAGTGGGGAAATTGAGACGTAACGTGGAGGCCGCGTGCTCTCTGTCGAAGCCGTCGGCTCCACTTCGGCCCGCGAACGTTCCCCCCCCCCCCACTCCACCCTCTGACCGTTTTTCTGGAGAGGATAGTCTTCGTTCTTTTCTGTTCTTGGGAATTAAGGACGGCCCCTTGGTCGCTGTAGCGCACCTTTCACGGGTTGGGGGCGTACCCGGATGTGCTCCTACGGAATCCGGCTGAGCCGCGCGGCGTCTCACCACGGCGACGGCGGGGGCCCCGCGGCGATTCTGCCGCTGCGCCTGCTTCTGCTCGGAGAACTTGTACGTGGCGCGCTACGGGCTGCACCTACGCTTCCGCAGCGAGCAGCAGCTGCGCCAGGATTACGGTCCTGTGAGTGTCCTCTGCTGGCTTTCCTGGGAAGTGGGCGGAGGCTAGGGAGGAGCCTTTGGCCCTGAGATGGTTTGGTTTGCCCACGGCACACGGAGCCTCACTTAGGAGGAGAATGACTTTCCTCTCCATGCCTCCGTTTCCCTATCTTAATGGGGGGGGGTGATAGCATCTCCTGTTAGTGAGCCGTGTGTGGAGGGAATGAAGGAACATGCGGGTAGAGCGAGCAGGGCAGGCCCTGGCTCAGGATGCTCTCTCGGTGTTGGTGGGAATAACTGGGAACCTAGCTCTGCTTAGCGCGGTCATCGCAGTTCCTTCTCTGAAGGATCCCGTGACTTACGGGCTCTCATTTCCACTTTAAGGAGGGGAAACTGAGGCTCAGAGATGTTAAAGGACTTGCACAAAGTCACGCAATCATGTTCACTGGTCTTTCTGCTCCCAGATCCTGCGCAGCCGAGGCTGTGTCAGCACCAAGGACTTCCAACAGCTCTTGGCAGAGGTAACACTCCCCTATTCCCTGCGCTGCAGCTTGGCCCTTCCTCTAGATTTGTGTCAGCAGTCTGAGGGGTTTCCCAGCCTCGGCCTGTCAGTCTCCGATCGCTAAAGGACTCCTCAGTCCTCTTTACCTGCTTCCTGCTCCCCTCACCCTTACTCCTGCGTTCTGGCACCAGAAGAATAGAAATGGAGAAGTGCCAAGTTGTCTATGTCATGCCCTTCTTAACAGCTTTGTGAGGTAGACACATTTTGGGATGAGAAACTGAGTCTCAAAGAGGGGGGTTGCTTTCCCAAAGTCTCACAGAGGATGGAGTTGAGATTACTAGGGCTACTATATCCCTGGCTCTTTTAACACCCTCTCCACCCCGCCCCTAAGCTGAGGTTGCTGCTCATCTCCCACCTCTTCCCTCACCTGGGGGTTAGAGTTGGTGGATTTCTAAGAGAGTCTTTTGCAGCCTCTGTAACACAGCATTTGACTGTGACCATTCCCCTCCCTATAGTGGGCCCAGCTGGTTGAGATGCCTCCAGGGTCTCTCCTCCCATCCAGCCTAGCAGTCCCTCTTCTAGAAGTCCCTTTCACCTAGTAGTTTGGTATTTGTAATTGACTCAGGAGTATAGGGAGACTTGTCTTCCATCCTGGGCCCCACTCTGGCCTTCATGATCCTCAGTTTCTTCATCTGTACCATGGCTTCAGGGGAATGGGAGGCTCTGTATGATAATTTATCCCTGTGCTACCCCAGCTTCAGCAGGAGGTGGCACGGCGGCAGAGGCTGGGGCAGGAGTCAGCTGCCAGGAAAGCCCTCATCGCCAGTTCTTACCACCCAGCACGGCCAGAGGTTTACAATTCACTGCAGGTACTAGGCAGGGAAATTGGGAGCTGGTTACTGGAGGGAGGAAGCAGCCTTTTCAGGCCTGGGGTGCTGTCTTCCCCATAGCTGTTATGTTCTGCCCCCAGGATGCAGCTCTGGCTCCTGAGTTTCTGTCCGTTGCAGAGTACAGTGCATCTCCAGGTGCAGACCTCCAAAGCCTTCTCCAGCGGCTGCAGACAGTATCAGGTGAGAGCATGGCGTGACTTGGGGGTGGCAGCCTAAGATACCTGGGCAATAGAGACTGGGGTCCTCCCACCTATCATATTTGTTCTCAAAAACCAGACCAGCAGGTACAGGAAGAGCCAGTGAGACCAACCTGCCAGGAGCAGGGCATCTGTATTCATTTGTTCATTCATTCATTGACCAACCTTCCTTGCAAAGGTATAGTTTCAAATGACAGTCTGGCATCAGCTTGACCCCTGGAGAGCTCAGAAAGAGAACCCACAGTTGCTCACAGCACCAGTTAGTGACTTCAGAATGGGGCAAGGCAGTGGTCCTGAGAAGTGAGGGACCTCACTATCTCTACTGTACAGATGAGGAAAATGAGGCTGGGGACAGTGAAAAGCCACGCCTGCTCATGAGAAGATTGAGACCCAAGCCTGTCTGACCTTGCCTCAGAACTCTAACCTACTATCTTGTCTCCCTCCACAGAAGAGAAGCGCATCTACCGGGTGCCTGTATTTACTGCGTCTTTCTGCCAAGCCCTGCTGGAGGAGCTGGAGCATTTTGAGCAGTCAGACATGCCCAAGGGAAGGCCCAACACCATGAACCATTATGGGGTAGGTGAGGCCTGGCCCATGCACCCACCTGAGGAGTCCAGGCAGCTAGGATGGGAGACATATCTGAGGTGCTGCAGGCAAGCTGCCCATCCCTGCCTGCAGAGCAAGATCATGGTAGATAACTGTGTGATGGTATCAGTTTGCTTTGTCCTTAATAGCAAATCCCTCACCCAGGGAAGCAGGATAAGGCCCCAGCAGTCTTCCTGCTTACCACAGGCATCCTCTTCCAGGTGCTGCTGCATGAGTTGGGCCTGGATGAACCACTGGTGACACCACTGCGGGAACGCTTCCTGCAGCCATTGATGGCCCTGCTGTACCCAGACTGTGGTGGGGGCCAGCTTGACAGTCACCGCGCCTTTGTGGTCAAATATGCACCAGGCCAGGACCGTGAGCTGGGCTGCCACTATGATAATGCTGAGCTCACTCTCAATGTGGCCCTGGGCAAGGCCTTCACAGGAGGTGCCCTATACTTTGGAGGCCTCTTCCAGGTGAGTATTTCAGACCCATGGGACAGGATCTGGGTCAGCCATGAGTGCCCAGGCCTGAGATCTGCCATCTGCAGGCACCAGCAGCCCTGACAGAGCCCCTGGAGGTGCAGCATGTGGTGGGCCAGGGTGTCTTGCACCGGGGCGGACAGCTGCATGGGGCCCGGCCGCTAGGCACTGGTGAGCGCTGGAACCTCGTGGTGTGGCTCCGGGCCTCTGCTGTGCGCAACCGCCTCTGTCCTATGTGCTGCCGTGAGCCAGACCTGGTGGACGACGAGGGATTTGGTGATGGCTTCACCCGGGAGGAGCCCACCACGGTGGATGTGTGTGCGCTAACTTGAGCCTGGTTTGGCCCAGTGGTGGTGGGGAGGTGGTGTGGCAAGTGAGGACTTGCCATCTCAGGTTGGAAGGGGCAGAAATAAACTTGCAACCATGGAACTCCTTGGATCAAAAGGTTAGGCCAGCATCTGGGTCATTATTTCCAGAGGTAGGCTGGCTTAGTGCAGGTTTGCTTGAAGCAGACCTTGATATGGGGATTCATGGAGGGTGGATCCTCAGAGGGGAGTAGGGGGAAGCAGGAGAGGGTACTGAAAATGGCTTCACAAAGATGTGGTTTCAGGTGACAGTCCAGCATCAGCCTGCTCCTGGGGAGCTCCAGAGCTAGAATTCCCACAGTTGGTTCCTAGTAACAGTTAGTGGCTCCTGGATAGAGCTGCAGAGGCAGGAGTAACTTCCCAGACATCTGCCTCCAGGGGAGGGTGGCTCCCAGTGGCTGCAGGAGGCCTTCAATGAAGAGTATTAGTGGTGGACAGCACCAATTGCAACCTCTGAAGGGTGTAAAAGGCTTACTTGGAGAAATCAAGAACAGATTTCTGGAGCCAGACTACCTGGATTCAGATCCTGGCTCTGCCACTTTCCACTGTGTGGCCACGGGTGACCCACTGACCTCTATGCTCTAGGTGCTATTGTGAGAATCCAATGACCTAACACAGATAAAGTGATTTATATAAGCCCTCGGCTGTGTTTGTTATTTTTATTGAAGACCTTATAACTGGGTGGCCCTAAGATTGATGAGGTGTGTACACAGAGCTGTGCTTTTTGGGGGCTACACATCTGAAAACCAAGGTGTTTCCATATTGAAATCTTAAATTTTTTTTTTAGTTGTTAATGGACCTTTTATTTTATTTATTTATATGCAGTGCTAGTAAATAAATAAAATGAAAGGTTTTTATTTTAAATTAAATAAATAAATTAATTAATTAAATAAAAGGTCATTGAACCCAGTGTCTCACACATGCTAGGCTAGTGCTCTACCACTGAGCCACAACCCAGTCCCTCCATGTTGAAATCTTGAATTTTAGCTTCCTCCGGAAGGAGGGAAGACGTGGAAACACGCAGTCCCATTCCCATACTGCAAAAGCCACCTGGAGCGGAGTCTCAGCTGCGTACTTTAGAAAGGCCTGTGGTCACTCTTTCATTAGGTGTCCTGAACTAACTCTCCGTCCCTTTATGGACACTTGAGTTTGGGAACTCTATATTACTGGGTATATATGTTAGAAAGACAGGGACGTCTCTGCTGGGATCTCAGTCAGATGGGGTGGACAAGTTCGCAGACCAGCCAGAGAGGAAAGTGGCGCGCGGGAAGATGGGGCTTTAGGTAGGTGGGTGATGCGGGTACGGCACCCAAAGCGCAGTCTTGGAAGACGGTGCGGCTGTGGCATAAATGGACGAGAGGCGCCTGAGAGCCCGAGGACTGGCGCCAGGCTGGAGATGTGTCCCAGGGCGGAGCGGCGGGAGTGGGCTCCCTCACCAGCGTGGTCTCTGCAAAGAGATGGGCGCTCCGGAGACGGAACCCGCGGTTTCAGAACTAAAGGCAGCATCGTCTCGCTTCCCACCCGGACAACCTCCCCGCGCACCGCTCTAGGCCGGAAGTGGTCTGGAAGCCACCGTGCTGCTGCTTCCTTGCGAAGTCGGGGTGTGGAGCTGGCGGTCCCATCCGATGGGCGGTTGAGGTGAGAAGAGGAGAGCCTCGAGGCCCTCTTTAAGGCGGCGAGGCCGCGAAGGGAGCAGGGTGGAGGATGGGAGCGCGCGGGGAAGAACTCGGGACGCCCCTTGCGGTTGAGGAAAGCTGTCGGTTCCCAGGACGCCGCGCTTGGTGCGCAGGTGTGGAGCGTCCGGGCGGGGGCGGGACCTTAAAGGGGCAGACGCGCGGGGTCCCGGAGTCGGCAGAGAAGCCAGAGTCTCCAAAGAGGTGGAGGGGATAGCGCGGGTCCCCGCTGTGGTGCTGGGTATCGGGGGCCCTGAGAACCAGACCCCATTGGAGCCCATACTGCGGTCCGGCTCCAGAGAGCCGTGGATTAAACGCGTCTCTTCCCTGTGCCAGCCTGCGCCGCTATGGCTCACGTTGGCTCTCGCAAGCGTTCGAGAAGTCGCAGCCGCTCCCGGGGTCGAAGGTCGGAAAAGAGAAGGAAGAAGAGTAGTAGGGACGCCTCGAGGAGTTGCTCAGTTTCTGGATCCCAAGGTCGTAAGGCCAGCACCGCCTCAGGGTCTGAGGGTGAGGACCCCAGGGACTGGGAAAGGGGGTGTAGCAACTTCTCCGCAGGCAGCTGCAGGCAGCTGGGACTGGCTGTGGAGAAATAGGAATGAGAGCATTCAGGGGTGCAGAGTGGAGAATTGGAGAACCCCCCAGACAGGGAGGAGACTGGGCCCTGCCCAGCTGGTGAGTGTGGATCTAAGGGTTCACTTAGTGTAGCTATGAGAGGTGGAGCCTGGCCTCCTGCCCATGAGCCGGTGTCCTGTGGAGCCCGGAATGTGCTTCTCCAGGAGAGCACTGATCTCTTCTGGAGAGCCTGGCAGGGAGCGGCTCACTGGACAGACCTGGTCCTACCTAAGGCCAGAGCATGGGGACCAAGGTTTACTCCTTGCCCTCCTGGCCTTCCAGCCTCACCTTCTCCCTGCATCACAGAGAGAAGCAAGCAAAAGGCCCGGAGGAGACCACGATCCAGCTCCTCCTCCTCTTCTTCCAGTTCTTCTAGCTCCTCTTCTTCCTCCTCGTCCTCCTCCTCTTCCTCCAGTGATGGTCGGAAGAAGCGGGGAAAGCACAAGGACAAGAAGAGGAAGAAGAAGAAGAGGAAAAAGAAGCTGAAGAGGAGGCGCAAAGAGAAGGCTGAGGTGCCCCAGGCCGAAGCTCCGCCTGGCCCCTCCCTGGACCAGTGGCACAGATCCACGGGGGAGGAAGACGATGGCCCAGGTACTGTGCCACCCGATGTGCAGGAGGGAGAGAACCCCTCCCCAGGTCTGCCCACAGTCTCCTCCCATCTTCCTTTCCAGTCCTGACGGATGAGCAGAAGTCTCGTATTCAGGCCATGAAGCCTATGACCAAGGAAGAGTGGGATGCTCGGCAGAGTGTCATCCGCAAAGTGGTGGACCCCGAGACGGGACGCACCAGGTGGGGGTGCCAGGCACAGGCAGGCCCCGAGTGGTGTACCTGGGAGTTGTGACCCAGAACATGGGCTTTCAGGAGGAGTGGGGTGTGGTTGCAGCTGTTCCAAAAAGGCCAATATGGGAGTAAGCTGTCACTGGTGACATATCAGCTGTTCTTCCCCTTTGCCTGGTATAAGGGTCTCAATGAGAGACCTTTTTCAAGCAGCTACTGTTGCCCAGACTGGTAGTGCAGGCTGCCAAGGCAGCCTACCTGGGCTCCCTCCATCCCAATCCCAAAGGTGGTGGGGGCCAAATTGGCACCCAGGCTCCCCCTGCTCGAGCTGGTGGGGCCTGAGCCCTGGGGACCCGTTGCCGGTTGCTCTGGCATTAGGGTTTCTTGGGGTTTCTTGCTGATGGACACCCTCACACCCTAGGCTCATTAAGGGAGATGGTGAGGTCTTGGAGGAAATCGTAACCAAAGAGCGACACAGAGAAATCAATAAGGTTGGTGTTGCCCCTTTCCCTGTGGTCTGCCCCCAGCTGTCTCTGATGTCCTACTTCTGTATGTTTTCTTCCCTAGCAAGCCACCCGAGGGGATGGCCTGGCTTTCCAGATGCGAGCTGGGCTGCTTCCCTGAGGGCCCCTGGCCAACTGAGGCCTGTGGACAGTGTCGTGCCATGGCCTGGAGGTTGGCCACAGGGCGGGCAGCAGCAACACTGACCGGTGCTGATGGCTTTTCACCTGTACCTGTGGAGCCAGTCCAGCCTCCTCAGGAGCAAGGTTAGAGGTGAGGCTTACGGATGCCTCAGTAACCCCTCCTGAAAGAGCAAGGGCAGTGAACCTGATATTAAATGTTCTCTGGTCTTATACTTCTTGCTCTGTTGCTTATTGTGGTCAGGGTTGGGGAGGTTGGTGTGAACTTCCAGGGGGCATTGGGCTTTAGGAGCTTTGGGGAAAACTGGGATGTTGGGCCTCAGCCCTCTCTGCCCTGCTGTTCATCTGTCAGCTGATTGCACTACATCTGACTCCATGGCTTAGTCCCAAATCAGTCTTAGCTCTTCAATGGGACCCACTTATGCTTGGGGAGAGGCAGCTTCGCTCGGTTCATTTCACAGATCACAACAGGTAAGGGCTAGGTAGCTTATTGCTGTGTCCCCTGTAAAGCAGAGAGGCTCACAAACCTGCCTCACTGGGCTATGCCTTGGAAGGGACACAAGTCCTGCATGAGTGTACTGGTGACACTGCAAGCAGCAGGTGGCACTGACTGGGAGGGTTTATGCTTTTAGACAGGTCCTTTTCCAACCTGAACCCCGGGGTGCCGCCGCAGTAAAGAGATCACAAGGAAGCCTTCCTGCTTCTTTAATTGGTGTAACAGACAGTGACATATACAGAGCACACTCAGGCCCAATGATTCAGGGACAGCAGGGAGGGAGTCAGGACACTGTTCACACATGGCCCAGAGACAGACAGCACGAGGACAGACGGGAGGGGTCCAGATGTGAAGGCTGCGATGGGGTGGGGCAGGAGGCAGGCAGCTCATACTGAGCCAGGGAGGGATGGGTCTCTGCTGAATCCTTCTTTAGAAATCAAAGAGAAGGCAGGTGGTGGAGCTGGGTGGTGGTTGAGGCTCAGTCCTGGGGTTCGGGGTGGGTGGGGTGGACTAAGGCTTCTATTCTAACAGGCCTGGGGTGGGGGTGGCAGTCAGCAAGGCCTGCCTCACCCTTTGGTTACGACTGGTTGGGCCTGAGCCCTGCAGCTCAGCACCCAACACTGTAAACATTTTTGGTATTTAAAGGACTTTGCCCTTCCCTCTCTTGGTTTCTGAAAAACTGGTGCTTCCTCGGGAGAGTGTGGTGAAAGGAGTCTTAGGGAGGCAGAAAGCAGACCTGGATATAGAAGAGACTTGGGAGGGAGGCTGCCCGTCTCACCGTCTATGGCTGAGGGCCTGGGAGAGGCCCAGGGGACTATTGCTGTTGTCCTTGGCATGGCTGATGACTGGGCAGGCTATGGGGGGTGCGAAGCCATGGGGGCTTCCTTGGGAGAGGCTGAGTCTGCCCACAGGGCCTCCTGGCCTTTATTGCAGGCGGGCCCAGGACTTCCAGGTGCTTCTCTGGATGGCTAGTCACCGAGGTGTAGGTGAGGTGGGGCAAGGTGGGGCTGATAGAGGCGGTGGCACTGGCCACAGGGGCCCCTGGCCAGGGCTGTGATTGTCGGGCCAGCGACTCCTGCTGGGAGCAAGGGGTCAGCTATTGCACTTTCACTGCAACAGTTACGAGGATACTTGGTCCATAAAATAGTCGTTGCTTTATACAATATGCCTGAAACAACAAAAAGCTACATCTTAAATGTGAATAGCCCTGGAGGCTCCATCCCCCAGGTGTTTTCTCTGCACAAAATAAATAGCTCTTCCTCTGTATAGGCCCCCATTTGAGAACATTTACATGACCCTTTGGCTGTACATATCTACACACGGGGAAAGTTGCCCTCAGCCTGCACACCTCCCCAGCCCAGCCCGCAGGGCCCTGAGCTGTATCCAGGTTGGCAGAGTCTCAGGAACAGAGTGCAGTGGCTGGAGGGCTGTCCGGGGCCTTGGGGATGGTGGCGGAACCTGGGCGGCAGCCGAGGTTGCCCGGTGCTGGGAAGGGGAGACAAGTGTCAGGCCCGGGTGCAGCACTCCTGTGTGGGTGAGAAGTGAAGTCCTGGCTGCCTGCCCTTAAGCTAGCAAGCGAGCTGTGGCTTAGATTCAGCATTGAAACGGAATTGGCATTAAAAAACCTAAATGTGGCCCTGTCCCAAACCCCCTCCCCCATAGAAATTCAGTGGAATTAATGGGTCAGGTGAGGCAGGGAGCCCGCACCCCGATGAGTGGGCTAGGGTGGGGCCCATGGGACCCAGAACCAGGCTGGACTCCGTCACAGTGCTGGGTGTTCTCAATGTGGAGGGGCTGCGCTTGGTACTGAAAGAGTTAAGAAAGGAAGCAGCCGAGGATTGCTCATTTAAAAAAACCTCATAGAAATCAGGTTGAGAAGTAGAAAGGCGTAGAAACGCGGAGGGCAGGCGGGTGGGTGGGCCACGGCCTGGGGCCCTACCGATGGCAGGCAAGGAGAAGAGGCCAGGCTTGTCCAGGCCCCATGGCCCAAGGTGGGACAACGAGGGAGCCGGCCTTGTGTTTCATTGGCCTCATGCCTGGGCTGTGCTCAGGGCTGGAAATAACACCAGCCCTGTGACGGCACTGGGCCCCAGCTGGGCAGGCAGACAGGCGGGCAGGGGTCCCAGGGCTGCCATGGCTCTGGCAGGCCAGGCAGGGCTGCAGGAATTAAAATATGGCCTTGCTCTCCTGCTTGCACATGGATTTGCCAAACTGGAACCTTCTGTGTGGTAACAGGTCCCGGATCAGCAGATATTGAGTTTTCATGCATGTCAGCGAGTCTGTAGCCATAGATGGTAAAGGGTCCCACACTCAAAAACCAGGGCAAAACCAGTGAGGTCAGACAGTTGAGAATCTGGAGTCAACGAGAAGCAGGCTGGACCCCTGTTGGAGCTGCTACCAAATGGAGGGGACCTTGGGGTGGAGGATAGTGGACAGGGAGGTGGCAGGATGGGCCCAGGCCCACCCCTGGCACCAGGAGGCTGGGAGATCAACACAGGGCACAATGTCCAGAAGTGCCTCCCCAGGCCAGGCTCAGTGGGATGTCTTGGTCCTTCTGTGATCCTGGCTGGTTGTCCTGCTGTTTTCCACGATATGCTGGACCCCACAGGCCCTATGACAGGAGGCAGGGCTGGGAGGACTGGGTGGCATGGCCTGTGTCCTCCAGTGGGCCATGGGACAAGCTCTCAGGCGTGTCTGTTCCTCCCCAGCCACCTGCGTGTGCTTAGGCCAGACCTCCTGGTGGAGCTGGAACCCTGGCCTAGCACTGCCTAAGAGACCATGGTGCCTCGCTGATGGTGCCCTACTTGGGGCCCGTGGCTGTCCCTGGATCAAGCCGGCCTGTCATGGTGCGGCCCCAGCAGCTGGCCGCCATGCTCATGCTGCGCTGGCCTCGCTGTTCACAGTCTGCTTGGCCCTGCGTCCGCTCGAGTCGGCTGGGGCCACTGGGCTGAGCTGAGATGGTGCGGAGCAGGTGGTTCCTGGAACGCAGGAAGTCCCCCTGGCCAGGAAGGCCGAAGCTGCCCTTGCGTAGTGCCATGCGGGTGGCGGTGTTGCGGGCTGGCCGTGCCCGGTGGTTGTACTTGAGCTGGGCCAGGTGGGCTGCGTAGCCGTCCGTGATGAACTACAGGGGCAGTGAGGAGGACGGGCTGTCAGCGGAGGGACCCCAGCTGCTCCCTGGCCCCTGGTTCGCCTACTCACCTGGCACTGCTGCTGCAGCTTCTTGGTGGGCCGGCCCACAATGTAGATCTGCATGGGGGACAGGCTGATGGAGCTGTAGACCGCCACATCCTTCGTGGAGCCGTAGGCCGCATGCACGCGCAGGTGCAGCTGTGGGCAAGATGGTGTGGGCGTGGGCACGGCCTCTGCTCCCATCTGTGCCCTGCCCCCTCTCCCTGGACCCACCTCAGAGATGAGCAGCTTCAAGAAGTTGGCCTTGTGCCGCAGTGGATCGTGCACCAGGCCGTCACAGAAGGACACCACACCGTGGGGGAAGTTGTGCTGGGCCAGCCATGCCACCACCCGCTGCTTCTGCATATCTGGCCGACCCGTCACATAGATGATGAGGTAGCCCAGGTCCTGCCAGTGCCTGGGGTGAGGGGCAGGCCCGGGTGTCCCATGTTGCCTCTTCCTCCCTCTGGGCCTCCCTGTCTCCTGCCCAGCCCAAGTGCCCTGCTTGGGCCACTGAGAAAAGCATCTCTAACTGGGCTCAGATGACATGTCAATAGAAATGGCAGTGATGTGGCGACAGACCCTCCAGTGACCCAGTGAGCCCCACAGTTGCAGCCCTGCAGGAGAGCTGCCTGTTCTCACCAGCCTTCCTCTCCAGGGAACTGGACACCAGGCCACCCACAGTCATGCAGCTAACCAGTGGTGGCCTAAGGCTCTAGGCCTGGACCCACAAGGTCCAGGGCCACGCAGGTCCTCATCCTGGTGCCACCAGGTCTCCCTCGCCTAACATGCAGGAGCCTCCTGCTGCTGAGCCCACCCACCTTGTGAAAGTCTCACTGTGCCCATGGGGCCACTCACCGCACCACATCCACGGCCCCGGCCCGCACCTTGGGGTCACTGCCCATGATGGACACGCTGGCGGCAAAGGAGCCGTCGATGCTGAAGACCACAAACTCCGTGCCCTTGGGCAGCACAGTGATGTAGCTGTCAGCAAACGTGTGGTCTCCCCTGGCCAGTGGGGACAGCTTGTCAGAACCAACCAGAGCCCCTCATCTTGCCCCCCAGAGGCGGGCCCTGTCCTGCCACCCCTTGGAGGTGCATACCTGACCACCATCTTGATGGGGTAGACCCCCACTCCCAGCCGGTGTGTCTCGGGGATCGTGTAGGAGACACGCCCACTGCTGTTGGTCACCAGTGTGTCCAGGTATAGCCACTCACCTGAGGGTGGCTGCATCATGATGTGCACGTCCACCTGTGAGCAGGGGCGAGTGGTCACAGCTGGTCATACCCTAGCCTCCTCACTCCAGGTGCCTCAGCCAAAGGGATGTGCAGGCTCCCTAAGGTCCCCCTGTTTCCTCACCTTCTCCCCGGTTAGGGTGACCATGTCCAGGGGCCCATACATGAACCGGCCTGTCACAACTTGTGGGCCGTCCTCGTTGGCAACTGCGTCACTGATCCGGTGGTTGGCCGTCACGTTCTGGGGAGGGGAGAGCTAGCCTGGGTCAGGGTGGGGCATGGAGAGCAGCTGGGGTCTCCGAGGCTCAGTGCATGCTCCCTTGGGCCTGAGGAGTGAGGCCACCCGACTTCCTGGCCCTGGGCAAGTGACGTCCTTGCTGGGCTTCCTTCCTGCTGTGAAATGGGCTCGTGGCCCCAACTGCAGAGACCGAGGCTCAAACAGACCTGTGCTTCTCTGTAACTCAGTCTCCTCTGTAATAGGGGCCACCTGTGAGGGTCACATAGGACTACAGCCATGTCCCCTCACCCGCAGCTTCACATGTGTCCTCTTGCGCTGCCACTTCTCTCTGGGCTGTGAGGGGGTGAACACCGACACCTCCTTGCCATCCAGCTCCAAGATGCTGGAGCTGTCATGCCTCATGACCTGGGGACAGAGACGCCAGGGCAGGCTCAGGCCAGGGCTGCTGCTCCAGGAGTGAGAGGCCCAGCCACCCTGGAGACCAGCAGAGTTCAAGTGATTGACATTTGATCCACTCCAGTCTGCCTCTAGCCCCCAGAGGCCCTCTGTCCTGTGTGTGCAAATGCGCTCCACCCACCCCCAACCCGCCAACTCATCCTGCACAGAGCTTCCTCCCTCCTGCCTGGAGCCTGGTGTGTCAGAGGAAGGGGCCCCAAGTGTCCAGCTCTCCTGCCTGGGCAACGGCCCGGTACCTGTCTGAGTAGGAAGGACACCACATCCGTTGACTCCCAGTAGCTAGCGTGGAAGAGGTGGGGCAGGGCCACCGTGGGGAAGGCCGTGAGGGCGTCGGGGCAGTACAGGGCATAGTCGATCCGCTTCTGGCCCCACCACTTAGCAGCAACTGCAGGGAGGAGGGACCATGACTGGGTGGGGCCGAGACATGGGTAGGGACCCAGAGGGTCACCTGTCCCTTCAGGCCTATTCGGCCCAGACTCCTTGGGGTACAGGCAAAGCAGATCTCTTCCTAGGCTGGTGACAGGCAAGCAGCTGTGTGGGCAGAAGGCACCAGGCCCGCACCCAGGCAGCCAAGGGTCCAGTGGGTGGCCCTGTGGCAGTGTCCCATGGAGGTACTGAAGGTCTCCGCAAGGGCCTGAGGAAGCAGGGGACAAGTCCAGGTCTGGAGGCAGTATCATTTGTCCCCAGGTGTCACAGATTCTGAGGAGTCCTTCCCTGAACCTTCAGGTAGGGGCTGCTGCCTTCCTCAGCCCCAGGGTAGTGGGGAGGCCTCAGGACTTCCAGAGGGACAGTGGCATGCACCTCTGCTGCCACTTCGGGTTGGGCCACCGCCCTCCCTGAAGATAAGGTTGCATACAGGAGGAGCCAGCAGACATGCCTATTTATGGATCTTGGCTCCCCTGGGTTCTGCCCACAGCCTTGGTGACAGAGGACCCCAAGCAGCTCCCTTGGTCCTTACCTGGTCTCTTCCCAGCTCCTCAGGGTCCCCTGGGTCCCTAGCTGACCCTAACCACTGTCCCTCCTCCCTAGATGCCTGTGTCCTCCCAGCCCAAGCCTCCAATCCCATTAGCCTCAGCGGGTGCACAGGTGGCAGGGCCTGGTGGTGAGGGGTGAGCATGCTTGGCAAGAGTGGCCCTGGTTAGAGTCTGTGGTGGGTACCTTCTCCGATGTCCACGCCAAGGAGGAAGGGGGCCCTGTCCAGGCTGGGGCTCGCCCGGGGATGGGGCCCTGGGGTGGCGGGGGGTGGGGAGGGCAGGGCAAGCAGGGACAGGCGCCTGACGCTGGGGGTGTGGCTGAGCGCTGAGGGGGCCTCTGAGAAGCAAGAACAGGGCAGCGACTCAGCCACACTGCCACAGCCAGCCCCTAGGATGCTGCGAGAACAGGGCCTGGGGCCAGGGGCACACCTCTCCCTGCAGACAGTTGGCACTGCCCAAAACCCCCCCAGCCCCAGCCCAGAGAGCCCGTGCCCAGCTCGGGGTGTGCCATCTGCATCTGCTTCCAGTGCGGAGAGGCTTCTGGGAGGGGCAGGCTGTGGAGCTTCTCTCCAGGACCCTCCCAGGAGGGTCCACTGGCTGGCTCACTGTGGGGGCTTCCTGGGTCCTGTGGATGTTCAGCAGCCCCCCTGCCCTCTGCCAGCCCCATGCCCCCAGCACCCCCTCCCCAGTGTGGCACCTAAGGATGTCTCTGGACATGGCCAACTGTCCCCTGGAGCTTAGGCCCCTTGCTGTGATGGTGAGGAGGGCGCGGGTGGCTGCACTCACTCTGGGCGATGCTGGACGCCGTGTAGCTCTCGGCCAGGCCTGACACCTGGCTGGCGATGCTGATCTCGCTGGCTCTGCGGTAGCCACGGCTGGTGGGGGCCGTGCCGGGCGACGAGGGGGCTGCGTGCTCTTGGAAGACCACGTTGTGAGTCTGGAGTGCATCTGCTACAGGTGGATGGGGAGAGGGGCCCAGGTAAGCGAGGCCCAGCATGGCCCCTCGTCCCCCCAGCAGTGTTGGGGGCAGTGTGCTGGGTCCAGCGAGCTCCTGGGCTAGGGTGGGCTGGGATGTGGCTGTGCCAAGGGTGGCCAGCTCAAGGCCACTGCAGAGGGCATGAGCTGGGGAAGGGGAGGAGGAAGGCTGGGGTAGGGAAGAATGGACAGATGGACACAGACACAGGGTGTGGAGGTGAGGTGAGGGACTTTCCCCCTATGGCCACTCCCTGCCCTACACGTGGCTCCTCAGCTGGTCTCTGGCAGTCCAGCAGCACGGGGTCCTTCTGGGCCTCTGGGTTTGACCCAACCCACCTGACTCACAGCTCACAGCGGCAGAGGCAGCCCACCCTTTGCTGGAGGGGTGCTGGCAACAGGGGCCCTAGATATGCTGGGGACAGAGAGGAGGCAGCCCCTGCCCCTGGCATCCCTCACGCATGGGCCATGATGAATGGGGACAAAGTCAGGTGCTGAGGACTCCAGCCAGGCTCACCTAGGTTTGGGCTGAGGACAGGATAGGGCAGGGAGGACAGGGCTCAGCAGAGGAGCCAGGCTGCATGGGTTGTAGAGGGAGGCTAAGCATCTCCAGGGGGGAAGGAATGGGAACCAGAGACCGCAACTTCTTGCTGAAACCAAATTTTTCTAGGTGTTGAGGAAGGGCACGGCTTCACCCTACCTCTTATCTACTCCCAAAAGCCACAAAAAGGAGGGCCAGCACCCTTGGACTGTTATTGGCAAGCTGTGTGACTCTGGGGCAGCCTCTGTCTGTCTCTCAGCTGCTACAACTATTTTTCCTTTGGGTCCTCTCAGCCCAGTGTGCAAAAAAAAGGCACCAAGATTAACTCCCCACTGCCTTCCTGCTTGCCTGCCATCAAGGTCCCCTGAACTCTGAGTAGCCAAAGGGGGCGTGAGGGGGTATGGGGGCAGGGGGCAGGGGCAGGAGCCAAGCAGACGTCACCACAGTGGGGTACACACACTCGGCACAGCCCAGGCTCTGGCGGGGCCCATCTTGCCAGGTGAGCGCGGGAACGGGGATACTGGTTTCCAGGAAGCCGTCCCCATGGGGGAGAGGGGCCAGGGGGCCACCCTCCAGGACCAGCTCGGGGTTTCTCTGCACGGTCTCGACTGGAGGCAGATGGGAGAGAACAGAGGACAAGAACAGACACTTGCATGGGCTGTCCGTACACACACCAACGTAGACTCCGGCTCCTCGAGGACCAGACACCACAAGATGCTGGGACACACGCTGGGGCTGGGGGACAGGCCGGGGGCTCTGTGGGGGGCCCCACCCACCAAGCGCCCCATCTTTGGACTTACTGCCTGCCATGCGAGGGCCCAGCCTACCGGTCCCCCAACCCAGCAAGGGTCCTCCTCCAGCCTGCTCCCAAGGGGTGAAACCCTGACCACGCCCTCTGAAACTCCCAGGAATAAGGAGCAGCTCCTGCACCAGGTGCCCTTCAGGAGGGGTGTCCTCCTGCTGGCCCTCTCGTACCTGGGCCGCCCCACCCTCCAGAACAGGGTGCTGACTGTCACCTTCCCCCGGGGGACCTCTCACCCAGCAGCGTGGAGCAGCCGTCCCCCAGCGGGTAGCGCTGGTAGCGGGGAATGCTGCAGGGTGGCAGGGCATGGAAGCGGCGCTCCAGCAGGGGCTCCAGGCGGGAGGCAGAGGGGTCGGCGGGGTGGAAGAGGTTGTAGACTTGCTGGCAGGCTGGCCGCAGCTGGAAAACTGGGGCAGAGAAAGGAGACTGGGTGGCGGGTGGGGCCCGGGTCCCAGGTGGTCTCTGCCGCGCGTGCCTTTCAGTTTGGGATCTGGCTGGGTCACTTTCCCTCTGTGGACCAGGAATGTCTTGTGTGGGTGCTAGGATGGCACCTGGGCATCACATGCATGCTGGGCCAGTGCTGGACACAAAGGGCCCTGTGGCTCTCAGAGTTTTTTCCTTTTTCTTTTTTTTTTTTTTTTTTCCAGATGGGGGTTGGGTTCCAGGGATTGAACTCTGGGGCACTCCACCACTGAGCCACGTCCCCAGCCCTATTTTGTATTTTATTTAGCGACAGGGTCTCACTGAGTGCTTAGTGCCTCACTGTTGTTGAGGCTGGCTTTGAACTCCCTATTCTCCTGCCTCGGCTTCCCAAGCTGCTGGGATTACAGGTGTGTGCCACCTCGCCAGCTCTCACAGAGTTTTTAATTGAAAAAGTTATAATGACCTACTAAGAACAAGTGTGCAAGTGTGAGAAGTGACGAACTTCCAAACTCTAAGGGAGACTAGACACCTGGAGGCTAGTCTGTCCCCATGTGACCCTGGGCTGTGCCTCCCTCTCCTGGACCTCCACTGTCTTATGTCCTCTGCTCTGGACACCTTAGAAAGGGAATGGACCAGCAGGTGTTGAGGACAGGGCCAGTGACTGGGTTGATGGAGCAGAAATAAGAGGCCAAGGTCCTTTGTAGATGGGGACAGGAAAAGGTCCAGGCCATCACCATGGCCTGTGTCAGGGGTCCACTGAGACCTCTGCCCAACTTGTGCCCCTTGTCCTGCCCCACAAGGCTCTCACCATCCAGGGCAGGGATGACGGTTTTCCGTAAAGCCAGGACCAGCCCCAGTGGGCACCCGAAGAGGAAGAGATCTGCGATTTCAAAGTCAAACTTGCCCAGGGCGCCGGCGCCATCCAGCATGGTGGAGCTGCTCGAGCGGCGGGAGCCGGGCTCGTTCCTCAGCACACTGGCATGCAGGCTGTGGTGGGATGTGCCAGGTCACACCCAGTCCTTCTCAGGGCCACCCTCCCTCAGCCTAGGAGGGACAGGCTGGGTCTGATGGCCCCTTCAGGGACTTGCCCTGTGCTGTCCTGAGGGTACAGCTGCCCAGCACCTGTGGGGACACTGTCAGTGGCCTCTCCAGGGAGCCTACCACCATTGGGATAGCCCTGACTGAGGCCACACTGCCCCTGGTTGGCTCTGCCCCTGCTCAGCTGTACCTCCCCAGGACAACCTGCTTCCTGTGGCTCAAGGTGGCCTGGGGCGTACACAGACCATGTACCCAGTAAGCCAGAGGAGCCCTAACAGGGCACCTGGCAGAGCCCCCAGGACCTCAGAGACCCCAGTCCCTGCTTCCAGAGGGACCCTGCGATGCCCCCTCCCTCTTGCAGCCTCCTTCCTCACCTGGTCTGTCCCCTGAGCCCACCTGGACAGGAAGGCCTGGTGCTGCTGGATGGTGTCCAGCTCGTAGGTGGATGAGTCGCTTCTCTTGCGGGGCAGCTGCCTTCTGGAGTCCTCGGCACCAGTGCTGCGGGGGATGTCGGTGCTGCTGCGGCTCAGGTGCCGGCTGCTCTCCAGGCTGGAGCCACCGCCGCCACTGCCACTGGAGCCGTGGGCTGCATTCCCCAGGGTGCCCGGGGACAGCAGCTCAGCATCCTGGAATGGCCCCACGGAGGCTCACTGCTGGGTGGCCGCCTCCTGGAGCTGCCCCTCCCTCCTGCAGGCCGATGCCCTGCTCAGGCTTCCCACTGAAGCCAGCAGGGAAGCAGAGGGGACACCCTGGTCTCCTCCTGCCCCTCAGCCTGTGGCTCAGGCCTAGCAACCTTCATTCCTGGCCTATCTGGCCACCCCAGACCTGGGGAACCTCCCCCAGGCTGCTGGCCACTCTGCTGCAGGGGAACTAGGGTCTTCCCTTCCTGCTGGGAACAGACAGGGTCCCCTATCACACTGCCCAGCCCAGAGCCCACTCCATCTGGGCAGACCTGGTTTGTGGCCTATGAAGCCACATGCTCTCTTAGACCGGCCATGCTACAATTCTCCAGCTGCCATGTGCCTGCTCTGCCACCTCTGGGTACCAGGACTGGCAGCTCTATGGATTCTGAGAAGTACTCCCCTGGCTTCTTCGGGGCCCAGGGTGAACCTGCTTTTGGGCACCTTCCCTGAGTTCTCAGCAAGAGACACTGGGCTTCCTCCACTCCCCAGGCCTCTCTCTGCACTCGGGTCCTGCCTGTAGGCTCAGGGCCTTGGGTGATGCTTGTTGATGGACAGAAGAGACGCAGCTTGGCTGGGGGTCTGAGTGAGCTCACCTCAGAGTCTCTGCCGGGTTCTCTGCTTGTGGGCCACCACATGGGGCCAGGTAGTGGCCAGGTGCCCTGAAGCAGGTAAGGGCACCTGCTCTACATGACACACGTTTCTGTGGAGGTCTGGGGCCAAGGGAGGGGCATCCCACCACCATGGCCCTGCTCTGGTACCTGCACGCTGACCACGCTGCCACGGCGGCTGCTGCTCTGACTCTCAGACACTGGCTGGTTGCTGTGGCACAAGGCATCAAATGCTAGGATGCCCCCAACGCAGTCCCCAATCAGGCAGACCTGCAGGCAGGAGAGGCCCAGGCCCACGTTTCCACCCTGCTGGCTAGGAAAGAAGACCCCTTCCTCCAGCCACCCTGCAGGGTCCTCCTTCTCCACCCTCCCACCACTCACCTGCCCACTGAAGGTCACGCCCTCTTGGGACTTGATGAAGTCCCCGTAGGCCAGGTTGGCCCTCTGAATCACTGTGGCAACTGCCTCCTGGTACTGAGGTGAGGAAGTGGCCAGCAGAGGCAGGGCGGCCAGGGGGATGTGGTCCTGACTGCTGGACAGGTAGCCCTCATCGTGGCTGTAGGGACTGAGGCTGAGGGAGGGAGGCTGGGTCAGGAGGGGCAGCAGGGTAGACAGAGCTACCTGGCCCCAAGTGCTCATGGACAGTCCTAGGTCCAGCCCGGGGCCACTGCCAGGGCCCAGGGCTGCCAACTGGATCTGCATCCAACATTACAGAATTGGAAACTGAGTCAGCCCTGGACCCAGCTCCTGGACTCCAAGCTGAGGCTGTGTACGCAGGCTCTCCCCCTCCGGGCAGAGGAGGCTCAACGCAGCTCGGGCCATCTGGACTGGGGGGCCACTGATGCTCAGGGGAGGTGGGAGACAGCATTCTTCTGTGATGCCCTCCCTGTGGGCAGAGGGGATACAGCGGGCAGATGGCACTCACTTGGAGACGAGGGCGAAGGCGTCGGCGCAGACAGGGGGGCAGGGCACCAGGCGGATGGCAAGGTGGCCCAGGGCGCTGGGGTAGTGCACACGCATGACGGTGTCAAACACGTTGGCGATGGTGTTGGCGTCTCCCTGCTTGGAGCTGGGGTCCCCGGTGCCCGTGTCCAGGATGGTGCCTCCGTGCAGCACCAGCAGCAGCACGTGGATCTTGGAGGGCGGTGCAGCCAGTGGCTGGCTGACTTCGTCCTGCACAGGCGAGGAAGGGGGTCAACTCCTTGCCAGGCCCCTGTCACACTGTAGGGAGGCCTAAATGCTCCTTCTGAGAGCTCCAATTTTGGTTACCCAGCTATGGAGCCTGGGGTTTGGCAGCTTCCTCCCGTCCCTCAGACCCCTGCAAGGACCACAGCCCGGAGCAGGGAGGCTTGACCATGGGCACAGAGGACTCGGGTGTGTGGGGGGGTCAGCTTTCTCCTCTGAAAGCTCCATGTCTCTGGGGGGCCTAGGCAGTGGCTTCTGCTTGGTCTCCTGGCATGGGGAAGAGGCAGAAGCTCAGCCAGGCCTGGCCTCTGGGGCCTGCTGCTCCTATGGGTGTCCAGGCAAGGGTCTGTCTTGGCTGGAACAGACAGGGCCACCACTGGCTGAAGTCCCAGGGGTTATTAGGAGTGGCCAGGGTCAGGGCAGTGATACGACCACTCTGTCTACAGTGCCAAGCTCTCCCTGGACCTCCTCTCGTCCTTAGGTCTCCGGGTCCTGCTATTCCTGGAATCTAAGACCAAGGTCCCCAAGAGCAGAGACATCCTGGGATGTCTCTGCTCTTGGCAGGGCTCCTGGCAGGGCTCCAGAACATTCAGCAGAAAGGACAATACAGGTTTGTGGCCCTGATTACGAAGGTCATGATCCCACCTTCCTGCTGGCCAGGACTGCTGTGAGGTCAGGGTGGACCCTAGATCACATAGGTATGTGTAGACTGCTTGTCCTCTAGAGACAAGGTGGTAGGCCCAGGAGAGGCCTGGGGACTGGGCCACCATCCTGTGGTGCACTGCCCAAAGCCCCTGCCAAAGCTCAGCACAGGCTATGGGCCACAGGCTGTGGCCCTGTCCCCAGGCCCCCCCTGCACCCTTCCTAAGCTTCTTTGTGGGTGGCCAGGAGATGCAAGTGAGGGACTACTGGGCTGTCCTTGCTGTGTGTGCCATGTCATCCTCAGGGGCGTGGGCAGGGGACAGAAAAAGGTGCTGAAGCCAGGTGTGGGCCATGGGGTTGTGTGCATATGGGGGGACTGCCCACTGGTGGCTGGCCTGGCAGGGCGACATCTGGACAGTCCCATCCATGTCACTTAAGGAGGGGTTCTCTAACACAGCGAGGAGAAGGCATAAAGACATGTCTAAGGCAGGGGAGTTTTGTCCAGCAGTGCTTGGTCCCCCAGGCAGGGCAGGTGACTGAGGGCCGAGTCTTGTTTGTGCCTGTCTGGCTGGACCCAGCACTGGGGACTACTCAGGGACCCCTGCAGGTCCAGAAAGACACCCATCCTCATGTTCAGTTTGACATAGAAACTACACCTGCCTGAGCCCCAGTGGTGACAGAGCCCCTGGGAACCGTGGGGACAGCTCTGGAGAGCCGGGTCATGCCCCACCCCTGGTCAGTGTCTCCGTAAAGCTGCCTGCTTCCATCAGGAAAGGCTGCCGTGTGGGGGCTTTTGCAAGCACAGGGGTCTGACTGGGGACGGCAGCACCCAGGATCAGTGCTGGGTTCCACTGCACATCCAGAGGCAGGTCCCGAGCCCCAGGCCCCTTCTGCCCTCCCCTGGGGGGCAGTCAGAGCTGTGTGCACTGCAGGTGGGGAGGGGCCTGTTGGCTTGATCCACCTTAGGCAGCAAAGGAAATCCGTCTCCCTGCCCACTGCCCCTGCTGCAAAACCCACTGTCCTCAGACCTGAGAGCAGAGAACCCCAGGAGGGGGGGAGGGGGGGATGCTCCCGCGCCAGACTCCCCAGGTGACCCGAGGAAGGGCCGATCCACCTTAGGCAGCTTGGGTCCTGGGCAGTGTGGTGACTGCGTCCTGGGACTCCAGCCCCCAGTGCAAACAGCTCTGAGGGCCCGCAGGTGGAGGGGGACGTGAGCTCCAGCAAAGAAGCCCTGAAGCAGACACAGGTTCCACAAAGAGCTTTATTGGACACACTGAGCGCTGCCTGACCCCTGCAGGCCGCCTGCAGCCGAGGCCACATCACTGTTGCCTGGGGGGCTTTTGCTTCCTCCCCTTCTGTCTTTTGCTCTTCAGACAGGCTGGGCACAAGGCGAGGATCTTATTTTTGATCTGGAATTTACAAGTTTCTCATTATACTTTCCACAGGTGCAACTTGCTCAAGGTCTTCTTGGGGTGCTGCCTGCTGTCCCTGGTTCTCAGGGGCCTCAGAAAGAGGGCGGGCGGGCAACTCCCTAGTAGGTGGCAAGGGAAGGAGCCTCCAGGGCCAGCGCAGGGGTGAGGTGCAGTGCGGAGCTCCACCTCCTGTGCCCCTGGACTGTCCCTCTGAGCCCTGCCCCTTCCCAGGTAGCCTTAGTTGGCAGCTCCCAGGCACCCACCTCGATGATGTTCAGCTGCTCCACGCTGGAGGCCACCCTGAACTCTGGGCTGCTCTGGCCGTACAGACTCTCTGCAACACAGAAGCCTCGGTTAGCAGGGCGCAGCTGGCCCCGTGGAGGCTGTAACCGCCACAAGGGGAACTGGAGCCCTGAGTCCCTCCCCTGGCCCCTGGGTGCCTAGCACTGTTCCGGAGCTGGGTGGATTACCCTGTGTGTCCTCTGGCTCTGGGCTCTCAATGGTGTCCATGAGGTCGTTGGAGCTCCACTTGGTGATGTCCTTGGGGAACATCTCCTCCGAGTCAGACAGGTCCTCTGTGGAGGGGGGGTGTTCAGCAGGTGTTCACTGGGAGCCTCCAGCTCCCCGGCCTTCGCCCAACGCGTCTTGCTCACTCCCTTCCTCACCAGGACAGCCAGGCACCCGACACCACCTGACTTTTTTGTTTTTTCAGTCATACCACATAAAATTTACCGTGTAAACCATTTTAGGTGGTATTTAGTGTCTGCAAAGCTGCGTGGCCAGCGCCCTTCATCGTCCTTGGACGGAAACCCCAGCCAAGAGTGGCCAGCCTCCCCGGCCTTCCTGGGCAGCCGCTGGCCAGCAGTCCTTTCTCTCTGCACTCGCCTATTCTGGTCACTCTGCAGCACTACGCCACGCGACGTGGTCTTTTGTGGCGAGCCTCTCTCACACAGTGTTGTGCTCTCGAGGTCCCTCCTGCTGGAGGCTTGTCAGTGTGTCCTTCCTTTTCATGGCTGAGCCATACCCCATGTATCCCTCACCAGCTGACGTCTTTAACGTCCACAGCGGCAGCTCAGGGAGCAGCTGGCAAGGAGTGCTGCTGTGTCCACCTGCAGCCGCCCCTGCCTTCCTTCCCTCTCCTGCGGGGACTAACCCAGAGCCACCACGAGTTCCGTCCCTGGTGCTCCTCTCTGCTTTCCTGGGATTTCTGTTGGGGCCCAGCAGCTATCTGGGTTTGGACTCCTGCTGGCCCCCTCCTCTGGCCTTGAACAGCTCCTGGGCCAGTTTCCCCAGGACTCTTTTGCTTCTACACCATTTTCTACACTAGCTGTGTATTTTCCTCTTGTCAGGGACAAAGAGCCAGCCTGGGATGAGTGGGACACCAAAGACATCCCTTCCCCACCTCAGCAGCCTGCCTGGGTCGTCTGGACCAGAGTAAACCCAGAACCTTCTCTTGCCTGGACACTCTTCCCCACGTCCTTGCCCCTCCTGGCTGATGGCTAATTAACTGAAATGCCCACACTTAGCTGGCTCCCCTGCTCCTCCCAGTCGTGGTGGTGGCACAAGTGGGCTCTCGCTGCCCCTGCCCTGTGCCAGCCTGTGGACACATCCCTGTCTCTGGGCCCTGCCATGCCAGGTACCCTGCAGAGGGCCATCTCCCTGCATTGCCCACTGGTCCCTCTGGCTTCACTGAGGGGGACAGCAAAGGCACTGAGCAAGGAGGCACTGAGCAAGGAGGCCCTGCTCACGTCTTCCGGCACAGGCTGCTTTTGGTGTTTATGCCAGGATCAGGGGAAACGAGCAGTTCTTCTATTTCTGCTTATTGCATTTTCTAAAGTGTCTACTTTAGGTGCATATTTAGTTTACATTAATGGCATTAATTTAATCAGGAATAAACAAGGTTAAGTACAAGATTAAGTAACTACAAAAATTTATAACACTGTAAGTTATACTTCTTATGGAAATAAATTCACAAATGGAAAAATGTCCCCGTGCGACGTGCATGTCCTTTTGGGGTGGTCTTGAGAGAGCAGCCCCCTCCAGGCAGGCCCACAGGCACATCTCAACTTCTGGGTAGGTTAGCCTGAGACTGGCGCTCAAGGGACCGTACCCCTAGGTGAGGCTAAGTCACCCTCCAGGCCCTGTGCCCACCCTCACACACCCCTCCCTGCCTCTCCCAGGAAGGCCAAGGGCTGCAGAGCCGCCCACTTACCATGGGCATCAAAGAACTCGTCGTCTGAGCTCTCGTCAGAGTCCCTGGCAATACTCTGCATCCTCCACTCCGAGATGCTGTGGCGGGAAGGGCTGGCTACAAGGCAAAATCCCAGACTGACTGGCCTGCAGTGGAAGGGCCAGTGGCTCTGCGGAGCCGGCAACAGCAGGGAGGTGGAAACCTGAGGCTTAGGCGGACATGGGCAGAGCCGTCCTAGGGAGGTTCAGGGAGAACGTGGGGCAGGAGGAAATGGGGTCTGAGTCCAGGACCTGAGCTCTGGTAGGCTTGGGTCTGACCCTGAAGAGATTCCTTAAGCTGAGATGCAGCAGCCTCACAGGGGTGTGATGCTGCAGGGCAGTGGGGGGTGGCGGGGGGTGCCTCACTACTCAGGTCCGGGGAGCGGGGCCTTGCAAAGGGAAGCTCCACTTCACCCTCCTCCTAGGCCTTGTAGGCTCCCCTGGGAGGCGAAGCCTCCTGCAGGTGTCAGGGAGCTGCCAGTCCTGCTCCTCAGGTGGGGCCTTCTCACCTTGGGCCATACACGTGCTCAGGTGGGGCCTGCTGGGGTGGGGGGACCTGGCTTCACTGCAGCTAGGCCTGGATTGGTGCCAGTCAGAGAAGGCTGTCCCCACCAGGCTGGGCACTGAGAGAGGAGACTTAGGAAGTCCTACTCCACTTCCCAAAGGGCTAGGACTTCCCCCCAAATCTGGCTTCTGACCAGACACCTTACCTAGGAGGCCCCTCAATGTCCCCACAATGTCCATGAGAAAGAGGCCATTTTCAGAGCTGGAAGGCCCAGCAACCCAGCAATGGCACAGGCTGCCTGGGGGGCAGGGCAGACAGGGACACCACATGGCTAGGCGGCACTAGGGCTCACCTCCCCTCTTGGATGACCGTGACGATTTAGAAGACGTGGACCACTGCTTCTTCAGGCCACGCCCCACCAGGGGCTCCCCGTGGCTGCTGCTGGGCTCAGGGGGCACCCCGGATGCCTGGTCCTGGGTGTCCTGGTCCTTGGCGAGCTCGGTAGCCCCCTCGTCTTCACTGAACTGGGCCATCTTGCGGGATAGCATGAGCTGCGCCTCCCTCTCCAGCTCCCGGATGTTCTCCATGCTCAGCCCGTACCACTCATCCTGCCAGCACCAGGCCTGCCTGTGGGCCCGCACCATGACCCGCCGCAGGCCTGCGTAGGTGCAGGGGAATCGTCAGTCTGAGACTGAACCAGGAGCCCCAGGCTGGCTGCCCTGGAGCTGCAGGTCAGACTTGAGTCACTGCTTGCCTGTGCCCCATCTTTTCTATCTGGAAAATGAGGGGACTGGCTCCCAGGTGGCCTCACAAACCCATAGTGATTCTACACTCAGAGGGGAGGGGCCTCCTAGGTAAGGTGTCTGGTCAGAAGCCAGATTTGGGGGGAAGTCCTAGCCCTTTGGGAAGTGGAGTAGGACTTCCTAAGTCTCCTCTCTCAGTGCCCAGTCTACTTTTCCTGTCCAATTTCAAGTTCAAGTTCAAAATGGGATTGAACCCAGGGGTGCTTTACCACTGAGCTACATCCTCAGTGCTTTTTATTTTTTATTTTGAGGCAGGGTGTCACTAAGTTGCTGAGGCTGGCCTCCATCTTTCAATCCTCCTGTCTCAGTCTCCAAGTAACTGGGATTACAGGTGTGTACCACCATGACTGGCTTAAAAAATGCTTTCAAAAGACTATATTTTACATGTGAGATAGATAAGAATATGTTATGCAAATAAAATAAGATACAATCATATGGTTTTTAAGGAGAAAGACAAGCCAGGAACAAGGGGCCCTCTCGGGTGACAGGATATGGGAAGCTCAGTACACAGCTGTGAATATTGCCCTGAAACTGACCTGGCTGTCCTCCCACAGGTAAGCTGCATGGCACACAAAACCATGCCTCCGTGAAGCTGCTTAAAAGAAACACTAAAAAGAAACAAAACACTCACCACCCAGCAAAGGTATAGACTGTCCCAGTGACACCTCCCAGCCCGTGTTCCCTCCCTGTAAGAGTCTGCCCTAGATTTTACATCTGCCACTTGTTTGGTTTCTCGTTTGGCAGGTGGTTTTTCTGCACGTGTTGGGCTGTTGGGCTGTGGTTGAAATTTACATGAACGAGTCACGCTGTGTGAACTCTCCTTCCACTTGCTTCTCTGGGTGAGTTTCACCTGCATCCACGCCCGTGTGGGGCTCTGGGGCACTGGGCTTTCAGCTGCATGGCATTTATGAGTTGGAAACACCACATTTTATTATTCCTTTTCCTGCCGGTGGCTTTTGGCTCATTTGCATCATTTTTCTGTCTCGTGGCTCTGAACATTCTGGAACATGTTTCTCCTGGCTCCCAGGGCACGCACCTTCTGCTTCCTGGAGAGTGCAGAGGGGCCCTCCAAGAGGCCTCAGGATGACAGGGCTTCCTCTGCACCTCCCTCCCCAGTCCCGCCTCCTGGGCTGCCACCTGTAGGGTGTGTCTGCCCACCTTTGCTATGCCATGGTACCCTCCTGGCCCCGGAGGTCTGTATCCCCAGCCCAGCGGTGGGGTGGCTTCAGATACCATGCTGATGAGCCTGTCCCCTTGTCTGTGACTGTTTGATGGCCTCACAGGGCTGTTCCAACCCATATGGGGAATGGCCTCAGCCTGGGGTGGCTGGAAGGGCTTAGCACCAGGGGGGAAGGCTAAGGCTATGCGGAACAGCATGGGCTATGCTAAGCCCAGCTCACATGGGTTCACCAGTTCTCCCTGGGAGGACACTAATGTTTGTAGCAGCAGACATGATTGTGCCGTGCCCCTTCCCTGGTTCTGCACCCCATGATCTTGTCCTAGAGCAGCCCTGTGTAACTGGCGCCACTACACCCACTTCTCAGGCAAGGAAAGCAAGTCTCAGGGAAGAGCCGCAGAGTCGCCATGTGACAGAGCTGGGACTGGGTGTCACAACTGTCTCCTCCCCTCCAGCCCCATTCTCCTTTCTGGGAGGAGAGCTGACTTTTAGGGGCTGGAGATCCCTGTAGTTTGGCCAGGCTCTCAGGCTATGTGGGGCAGGGAGGGCAGAGGGGCACACTGGCTTCTGGGCCAGGGTCCCAGCCTGGGCTCTGCTGGGACCTGAAGTGGGCTGACCCTGGAGAAGCCTGACATGAATGGATCCCTGGGGTGGAGAAAGGGAAAGGCCAGGCAGGCCATGCAGTGTGGGAGACCCACCCACCACTCACGCTCCTGTGAGCTGAGAACTGTTAACTTCCATCGCAGGAAGTGAGGACCATGGCCATGTCAGGTATGGCCCAGCTGGGCTGGGGATACAGACACCCAGGCTGTCTCCAGGACACTGTCCTTTCTGCTTAGAACTGGGGACATGTGTCCTGGCTTGTGAGTCCTGGGTAAAGAAGGAGGTGACTTGGGATGATCTGAGCATCCATGTGGTTAGACAGCCGGACTGCAGGGATATGTCCCCTTCAATGGGGTGGGATGTCTTCCTTCTCCTGCTACCTGCCCTGGCCCCTGCTGATGGACACATAGTAGCTCCCTGAAAAGGAGCAGCCATGGAGGTGGAGCTGGTGACACTGCTGTGTCAACAGGGCAGAAGCCAGCCTTCTTGGGCCCCAGGGCTCTGCCACAGCACCGACCTCTAAGGTCAGGCAGCACTGCTGTGGGCACCTTCCACTGTGGCTGGGGGGATGCCTGCTTTGGTTTGGCCATGTTGGATCCACAGGTGACAATGCCTGCTCTTGTGGTCATCAAGCACCAGCGTGACAGGTGTGAGGCATGTTATCAGAGTGTGGCTCTGTCCCATCTAGATAAGCCACCCTTGCTAATGGCATCACACGGTGTCTGCCTAGGGTAAACGTAGGGCTATGAGCCCTGGGTCGGGACCAGATGGGAACTGACATACAGCGACCGGGTGGGCAGGTGCTGAGGGCTCAGAGGTGGTGAGGGCCTTGGCTAGCACCTGCTGGGTGGGGAGCCCAGGCATCTGTGGGGACACCTGCTCTGGGAAGGCTGGGTGGGTGTGAAGGAGAGTACAATGCCTGCGCCATTCTGCCACCCAGAACTTCCCACCCTGTCAGGAGGCGCAGAGCTGTGGGCTGGGCTGGGCCGGCAGCCTCTCAGGTACAGCCAACAGGCCTGGGAGCTAGGGGCCCTATGGGCAGCAGGGAGGTTGCCCTCAGTGAGTACTCCCCAGGGTCGAGTGTAGGCTACGCTTATCATTCACAAATGGGGGCAGGAACAACAGGACAAAGCCCGGGGCACATGCATTCAAGGAAGGCCAAGATAAGCTGGGGGTGCCAAGCACTGTGGTGCGTGCCTGTAAGTCTTGTGACCTGGGAGGCTGAGGCAGGAGGATTGCAAAGTCAAGGCCATTGCAACTTAGCCAGACCCTGTCTGAAATAAAAAGGCCTGGGAATGAGGCTCAGTGGCAGAGCACCCTTGGGTTCAATCCACAGTACCAAAAAATAAAAATAAGAAGGGGCTGGGGCTGGGGCTCAGTGGTACAGCGCTTGCCTAGCATGCATGAGGCACTGGTTTGATTCTCAGCACCACATACAAATGAATAAAATAAAGGTCTATCAACCACTAAAAAAATATTAAAAATAAATAAATAAATAAAATAAGAAGACACAAATGATATGTCTCTTCGTCATGTACAACCAGAGATATGAAAAACTGTGCCCTCTATGTGTCATATGAATTGAAATGCCTTCTGCTGTCATACATACCAAATTAGAGTAAACTTTAAAAAATCAATAATGAAAGGTAAGATAAGCTGGGGGTGGGGGTGGGAGGTGAGCAGGGCTTTGGCTTCACCTTTCAGGACTAAAGCAGAAGTGGGCCAAGGAGAGGGAGGCAGGGAGGAGCGGGGCCGTGGCCCGCGTGCCTGGGGCTGGGTGCTCACCGGTGTCGTGGATGAACCTCTCTATCTTGGACTGCATGCCCCAGTAGCGGAACTCCACCTTGCAGAGCTTGTAGGCACACATGACGGGCAGCAGCTGCTTCTTGTACTCCTCAATCCAGTTGTCAGACAGTGGCCCGCGGTGGGTCTTGGTTGACTGGAACAGCTTGGGGTCCTCTTCGGCCTTGTACTCGTTGGGCGGCACAGGGTCCTTGACGATGTCGATGAAGTCTGGGGGACACTGTGAGTGGTCACACCTGCCTGGCCTGCACCCCACCCTTGCCAGACCCTCCATGCCCACATCCTCGGAGAGCCCCAGACCTCGCATGTGGAAGGGACATGGGGGAGCAAGCAAGGTGCCCTGGGCAGCTGCCAGACCCGTGCCTTTCAAGTCACATCGACAAGCCCCACAGTCAGCGTGCCTGCCACCTGGCAAAGCAGGTAATGGAGGAGGCCCTAGAGGGTCTTTCCGCGGGACAGAGAGAAGGCTGGGGACGCTTCCCAGGAAAGCTGGTGTCCTGGCAGCAGTGGTATGGACTGAGGTGGGGACTTGGGAACTGCCCAGGTCTGTATGGGGCAGGGTGGCTGCTGTGATGAGATGATGGGTGTGCAGTGGTGAAACGCTGTCCATTTCTTGCCACACGAGGTGCCAGGCCAGCACCTGGGCCAGGGCACCTACACACAGGCTCATACTGGGAGGATCCGGCCGGCTGAGCTGTTGGGGAGCTGGGCCCGGCCCCCAGAGGCCTGCTGTTTGACTAGGCTTAAGTTTATTGAATTATCTGCCAACATTTGGGAAAGTAGAAATTTCTCATGAAAACCCTGCTCTCTGGTTTCCTTAGTAGAGTGGGTCCTGCTTCCTGCATGGCAGCTCCAGCTGTGGGACGGAGCCATCATGGCATAGCCTCCATCTGCCACAGCCCCCATGGGCCGGGCTCTCATGTGAGGATGCCAGTCTAGGGTGGCTTCCAAGAGCCGCCGGTGCGCTTCTGGGGCTGGAGGGGCAGGGCTGTGAGCAGGAGAGGCCTCTTTCCTGGGGTGCAGTACTCCAACCTGCCTCCAGGATGGGGCCACGCTGGGGCCGAGGGGGACAGTGGGGGAGGCACAGACAGCGGCCAGGCAGGGCCTCCTGCTCACCTGTCATCAGCTGGTTCTTTTCCACAGGAGACAGGCTGAAGACGTCCGGGTTCTCCCCAGCATCGGTTTTATAAAAGGTTTCGATGTCGATGGAAAACTTCTCCACGAAAGGGCAGGTGAACCTGGGGGCAAACGGCGGCCATTGGGGCTGTGCCTGGGGGCTGCAGGTTGCCGCTTGGCCTTTTGGCACAGCTGGAGAGGGACAGGAGTGTAGGCCTGGCCAAGATGGGTTTCCCAGTCCCCTCTGGACTGTCACCTTGTCCCCAGAACAGTCAAGCCACCGAGGAGGAGGGCTGAGTTCAGGCAGCGGGGAGACAGGGAAGGGAGCCTCTGGAAGCTGCGTCTGGAGTCCACATGCTCATGGTGGTGGCAATGTCACACAGGTAGGGCACTGTACATGGAGCTGGTGGAACTTGAGCCCTACTCCAGGACACGCCACCCCACCCCACAAGAGCCAGCTCTGGCGACAGGGGAACAACTGGTACTTCCCGGTGTAGGAAGGAAGGAGGCCCTGGAAGGCGGGTGGGGACCCTGCCTGCTCAGCACGTGGAGTGACTGGAGCAGCCCCCATCCCTCACCCCAGCAGTGCTCAGCTGCACACTGGTACAGAGTGAAGACCCGAGAGAAGCCCTGCTCAGCATGGAGTGCAGACTCCCCTCCGGAAGTCTGGGTGGAGGTGGCGTGGGGCATCTGGCTGCCCTCTGTTCCTTCACAGCAGGAAAAGCCCCCTGGTTTGCACTCCTCGGGCCTTCTCAGAAACCCTGGCTTGAATACCACCTTCTTTGTGGCCTCCATTTGAGGATCTGGGAAGCATGGGGTATATTCCTCCCTCTTCTGTGTGTAACTGCCCTGGGGCCCTTCAGGGCACTGGTCTTGGACACAGCCTAGTACCCTTGTGAGTGCAGGGGCTGAGCCCATATAGACTCCCACTGCTGGATCTGTAGGGTTTCTTCCCACCAGACAGACGGAGGCAGAGGAGGGTGGAGGCCGGCGCACCTGGTTCGTGTGTAGGGGTAGGCATTCCAGGACTCCTCCACCACCCGCAGGGCTGCCTTGGGCAGGATGGAGCGGAACCAGCCGGGGATGTGCATGCCCACGTGGTACACCTTGTGTGTGTACTGGCCCGAGCCGCCAGGGCCGTCTGTGTAGGGCCGGTTCTCCAGGATCTCCACGCCGCTGCCCTCACCGTAGGTCTCATTTCGGCTTTTCTTCTGTGGGGTCAAAAGCATGATGACGTGTGTGGTTAGAGCTTCTGCACAGGACAGGGGCCCAGTAGGCCAAGCCGGGATGTAGAATGGGAAGATAGGCTGTGGCCACAGGCTGGCTCCGCCCAGGCCTTTCAGGACCCTCCCAAATTAGACCCAAGCTCTTGTGGCCCAAGCTCCCTGTGGTCAGATCCCCTCTCTGAGGCCCAGCACTGCTGATTCCTGCCTGTCCCAGGACTGAAAGTGTCCCAGGGCAAGGACAGGGCAAGGATGCCTGTTTTCTGGCTTTCACTCAGTATTGGAGTCATGAGGCAAAAAAAAGAAATCGTAAGAGGCATCTGAATCAGGAAGATAGAAAGAAGCTGTCCTTGTTTGCTGAGGACATGAACTTTATACAGAAACCCCCCCAAATTTCTTCCAAATTTATTAGACCTAATAAATGAATTCAGTAAAGTGGCTGGATTCAAGACCAACACATAGAAACAAAGACTGCAAAAAAGAGATTGAGAAATCAGGGGCTGGGTTGTGGCTCAGGTGTAGAGCACTCACTTGCCTAGCACATGTGAGGCCCTGGGTTTGATCCTCAGCACCGCATAAAAATAAATAGATAAAATAAAGATATTGTGTACAACTAAAAAATAAATATTAAAAAAGAAATCAACCACATTTATAATAGCATCTGAAAGAATAAATATTTAGGAATAGGTTTAATCAAGTAGCTCCATAAAAATACTTGTGCACTAAAAACTACAAAACATTGCTGAAAGAAACCAAGGACCTAAATAACTGGAAAAACATCCTGTGTTCTTGGATCAGAAGATTTACTATTGTTAATGTAGCAATAATCCCCCAAGAAGCATACAGACCCAGTGCAGCACCTACTGAAATTCCAATGGCCTTTTTTTTTTTTTATAGAAAAGTAAAAACTAATACTAAAATTCATATGGTATCGCAAGGGACCCCAAATAGCCAAAATAATCTTGAAAACAAGACAAAACTAAGCTGGAAGACTCACACTTCCTATATAAACACTTACTACAGAAAAGAAAAAGCAGAAATGGCAATATCAATATCAGGTAACAAAGAATATCAGGCAAAATAATTCACTACAAAGTTATAGAAATCAAAACAGTATGGTACCTTCATAGGATCAATGGAATGGTATTCAGAGCCTAGAAATAAACCATATATCTAATGGCCAATTAATTTTTAAAATTATTTATTTGCTTCTGTATTGGAGGCACTGGGGATTGAACCTATGGGCATTCTACCACTGAGCTACAGCCCGAGTCCTTTTAGACTTTATTTTGTGATAGGGTCTTGGTAAGCTGCCCAGGCTTGTTTTGAACTTGTAATCCTCCTTGTCTCAGCCTCCCAAGTCACTGGGATTATAGGTGTGTGCCACCATGCATGGCTGTTCAATTAATTTTGACAAGAGTGTCAAGACCATCCAATGGAGAAAGACTAGTCTTTAACAAACAGTGCAGGGACAACTGGGTATCTATATGTGGGAGAATGAAGTTGGACCCTACCTCACACCACACACAAAAATACAATGAAAATGGACCAAAGAATTAAATGTAAGAACTAAAACTATGAAACGGTTAGAAGGAAATAGGTCATCTTCATGACTTTGGACTTGGCAATGGTTTTTTAAATATATCAAAAGCATAATCAACAAAAGAGTAGACAAATTGGTTTACCAAAATTTACAACTAGCTGGGTGCAGTGGTGCATGCCTGTAATCCCAGTGGCTCAGGAGGCTGAGGCAGGAGAATCTCAAGTTCAAAGCCAGTCTCAGCAACTTAGCAAGGCCCTAAGCAACTAAGTGAGATCCTATCTTTAATAAAATACAAAACAGGGCTGAGGATGTGGCTCAGTGGTTGAGTGCCTTTGAGTTCAGTCCCTGGTACATTAAAAAAAAATTAAAACTAATGTTTATCAGAGGACAGCATCAAGAGAGTGAAGACGATCCACTGAACATGAGAAAATATTTGTATATCATATCTGATAAGGGCCTTGTATCCAGAATATATAAAGAACTCAACAACAAAACAGAAAGCCCAAATTCAAAAGTGGCCAAAGGACTTGAACAGGCCTTTTGCCAGAGAAGACAGAAATGACTAAGAAGTCCATGACCTGGCACAGAGAGCAACACCAGGCCCAGAGGAAAGTCTAGCCTGCTCTTCAAATCGTGGGCCACTACTCATTAGTGGGTCTGAGAGTCATTTCAGTGGTTGGCTACCACTGTTAAAAAGAGAAGCAGCAGCAGAACAGAAAACCTAGGTGAGAAGAGGCTGACACCATTAGTCATCAGGAAAATGCAAATCAAACTTCGAGAGACAGTGGACCATTAAGATGGTTAAGATTAAAAACAAAAACCCAGCAGACGATCAGTGCTGGAGAGGGTATATAGAGAAGCCGGGACCCTTGTACACTGCTGCTGGGGATGGGAGGGCACATAAAATGGGGGGAATGCAAAAATGGTGGAAAACAGTTTGGAGGTTTCGCAAAAAGAGACACAGGGGGACTGGGGCTCAGTGGTAGAGCACTTGCGTGGCATGTGTGAAACGCTGGATTCGATTCTCAGCACCACAAATAAATAAATGAACAGAATAAAGGTCCATCAACAACTGAAAAAAATCTAAAAATAAAAAAAATAAAGAGAGACATAGGATTACCACATGACCAACAAGTACACTTCCGGTTGCATGCACAAAAGACTTGAAAACAGGGGCTGAACAGACACTGAGTGCCCCTGAGCGGCAGTTCTGCCTTCTGTGATTTTGGTGACCTGAGGTCAACCACAGTCTGAAAACATTTCATGGAAAATTCCAGAAATAGGGCTGGGGATGTGGCTCAAGCCGTAGCGCGCTCGCCTGGCATGCATGCGGCCCAGGTTCGATCCTCAGCACCACATACAAACAAAGATGTTGTGTCTGCCGAAATCTAAAAAAATAAATATTAAAAAATTCTCTCTCTCTGTTTAAAAAAAAAAAAAAAGAAAATTCCAGAAATAGACAATTTGTAAATGTTAAATAACTTTTATTATAGTATGCTATTATAATTATTCTATTTTATTATTAGTTGTTATTCTCTTACTGTGCCTAGTTAAACTTTCCCCTGAAACTTATTTTACTGTGAAAAAAAAAATAAAAAATATATATTTTTTTCTTTTTGAATTTTGAGACAGGGTCTTGCTAAGTTGCCCAGGATGGCCTTGAACTTGTAATTCTCTTGCTTTAGACTCTCTGGTAGCTAGGATCATGAGCATGCCCCACCATGCCCAGCTCTCTAATTTGTAAATTAAACTTTATCATAGATCTGTATGGAGAAAAATGAAGCATAGGAGTTTGGTACTGTCCATGGCTTCGGGCAACCACAGAAGTCTTAGAATGTATCCCTGCAGATAAAAGGGGGAGACTGTGCTTGTACACCAGGCCTTCAGACGACCTCAGTTCTTCCAAACTGTCTGTCAACTAAAGAATGGATAAATGAAATATGTTCCACCTGCATCAAAGGATATCATTCAGATATATGAGTTTCAAGGTGGGCCAACTTGGAAACATCGTGCTGAATGACAGGAGCCAGTCACAGAACACCACAGATATTATTCCACTCCTGTGAAATGTCTAAAACAGACAAATCCACAGAGACAGAAAGTGGGGTAGTGGGGACTTGGGGCTGGGAGGCGGGGAGAAATGAAGGGTGACTGCTAATGGGTCCAGGTTTCTTTTGAGGTGATCAAAATATTCTGATGGACTTTTCTTGGGGGTGCTGGGGAGCCAACCCAGGGCCTTACAGGTGCTAAGCGTGGGTTCTTACTACTGAGCTGCACTCCCAGCTCTCAACATATTCTGGAATCACTGTCACGCACTCTGCGAACACACTAGAAGGGAAGATTACATGGTGGGTGAATGACAGTTTGGGAGCTGTTTTCTGGGAGCAGGGCTGAATGTCAAGGAGGTATGGGGGGTTGCTGGGGCTGAGAATGTCCTGCTGTGTACCCAGATGTTCACTGGATGGGAACCCACCTTGGCAGGTGCTCACGGATCATACCCTTTCTGCATATGTAAATCCTTGAATAAAAAGTGAAGGGAATTGGGGCTGTGGCTCAGTGGTGGAGCGTGTGTGAGGCCCTGGGTTCGATCCTCAGCACCACATAAAAATAAATAAATAAAATAAAGGTATCATGTCATAACTTAAAAAAAAAAAAAAAAAGCGAAGAGAATTAAGAACAAAACCAAAGGAAAAAACAGCTACAGGTTGCTCAGAGTATCCCACCTACAGAGTGCCAGGCCAGAGGGACCCTGCCACAGAGCCATGTTCCAAGGGGAACGCCAACTTGCCAGGGGAAGCTGACTGGTCCCCTGGCAGGGCCTCTGGGGAAAGACAGCCGCCTCCACTTGCAGTCGCCAGGTGCCAGCTTCATCCCAGCCTGGGGTGGGGCGGGGATCCTCCAGCCTTCAAAGTCCACATGCTGCTCAGGTGTTTCCCTGAAGGACAGAGCGAGGAGCTAGGACGTCTGATTCTCTGCCTGGCCTCGTTTTCTAGTCTTGGATCAGCCACTAACATGGCAGCTGGGTTGTAAGGTTGCAGGGCAGAGGAGAAGGGCTGGTCCAGAGGATGTGGCTGGGGAAGAAGACCCTCCCGTGGCCACAGCACTAGGTCCCCTGTCACCCTGCAGGACATCAGACACAGGCACTTGTGGAGCCTGCTGGGGCCAAGACATGGAGACAGCGGCCATGCATGGCAGGCCAGCATACCGGGAGCCAGTGCAGCCAAGGAAGAGGCTTCCTGGGAGAGGTGGTCCCCAGGGGCAACCACTGCTCCTCCCTGAGCAGGAGCCTTGTGGAGCCTTCTGGACCTGCCTCAGACACAGCTAACCCTTGAGGCCCACGTCCCCTCCGCATTCAGAGCTGCCGCCCCATCCCACAGTGAGGAGATGGAGCCCACCCAGGGGACAGCCCTGCTCCCATGTGGGAGCAGCTGGGCAGCATGGAGAC